GAATTAAAATCTGTAACAAGCACATGTAAGAGCTCCTGTAATTTGGCCTGTCAGCTCTGCCCCAGCCATTAAACAAGAGCATGGGGTATTAATCTAGTCCTCTCTCTCTGGCGGTGGGGAATTGTGATAAAAATGTCAAACAATTAGATTATATTGGCCACGGCGTGCTATGATTGAGTGGAGAGGCAGGGGGCGCCGGGGGTCACCTGACCATGCAGAGAGCGCCCTGGGACATTGGGGCAGCCAAGGGTGGAGGGCTGTGCTATGGGGGCCTGGAGGGGCCCCTCCATCCAGTGGTCCAGCCAGCGGTCAGCTCTGCCAGGAAGTCTGGAGGGGGAATGTCTGGAGGGGGGAGGGGGAAGGGGGAGGGGGGGACAGGCAGTGGGAACCAAGTGCTGCAGTGACCTTGTGTCCTGAGCTGGACACAGAGGTGGCTCCGGATCACAAGTCGCAGCCCCTCCCCTGGGTCCCTGTGTCCCCAGGGACCCTGCAGCCCCTCTGCCCCGCCTTGTCCCCCCCACCTGCCCGGGGCTGGGCTGCCCCTCTGGTCAGCTGCCAGCCTTGTCCCCAACCCCCCCAGGCCGGCTGCCCCTCTCCTAAGGGGTAAAGATGCACTGAAAATTGATTTCTCTGTTGGAAATGGGATAATTACACTGGTTGTTTCTCTCTTCATCATCGTCATAACTAAAATGAGAGGACGGAGAGCCTCTGGCATGGAGGAATATTGTGGGTCTTAATGCACGGGAGTGTTAATTGAATACAAATGGCCTTTCTTGAAGTTGCTGAGTTATATTTCAGAGATATGGGATAATGATGCTATTTAATCATTTTTACAAGATATAAAATTACTGGCTCCTCTGGGAAGATCATTAAGGAAAACAATTGTTCACAGCAATTGAAAATAGGCTTTTAATTATTTAATACAGAAAATTAAACTATTACAGACCTAAGCCAGACGAGGTAACTTAATAGAAATGTATATACAAGTGTCTGTGAGCGTTTAGGTTTTAGTAACCTGCCTAATTCCTTGATCCAGACCCTGGGGAGCTGCTCCCACCCCGGTTGGGCTGTGACTCCTGCTCACAGCCTTGGATGGGAGGAGGCAGGCAGGCGGGGGAGGGGGGAACGGGGGAGGGGAGG